CAATTCCCAGATAAGCAAGGATCAACAACAGGATTAACACCAGACAATCAAGCAATAACTATATCCTAATCAAGGAACTAGCAACCCAGACAAATAAACAAGCATCACACTTGTTTCAAGGAACTACCAAGGAAAAAAAACGAAAACCCCATCAACTGACAGGATAAGCTACAGTATATAACAGGGCAACCCCCCCCCCGCCCCTTCCTGGCACTGTAGATATTACTTAATTGAGTGATAAAACAACTGTGTGAAAACAACTATGCTCAGAGAGCACCCTGGGTCCACAATAAAGTGAAGTATTAAAAAAAACTGAAGAAAGAAAAGTACTGTCTTCTTTACAAGAGTCAGGAAATTATTGGATTAGTCAGTCTGGCATCACTATCTGAGCAGGTTCCAGAGGAGGAAATCATGGAAATATTATATGAATCAAAATTTGTCAAGACCAAATCCTAGAAGACTAAATTTATTGTAAAGGTTAGGTTAGATTGTATAACAATTAAATGTGTACAATGTGACACAAAAATTGTATTCAAAGAGCACTCATGAAAAATCTTAATTCAACAAGAGAGTTACAATTCTAATGGATGCCATTCCCATGTCTAGTAAAATTGTGTATTCTCTTATTGAATAGTAAAGCAGCACTCTCAGATTACTCCTGTATTATATTGGTTTCTTCATGATTGCTTTTGGAGGCCTTTTTTTAAATAGAAATTTTATCTACGTATGCCAAGATATGGAATGGAGGGAGGAAACAATGTCCTAAAAGAAAAAACTTAGTTGGTATAAATACATTTTGTCATATCCCGAATTATTGAAGATGCAAAACAAAAAACAAAAAAACTAGTTCACCAGGAACATTATGAACTATATACTTTTTTAAAGGTCTTAATGATGTTTATATGGTGAAATAACTATAGTGAAACATTTATATAGTGAAATTGTCACTCCTGTATCAAGAATAATTGCCCTCTCTTTGACTCTTACCCTTCCGCCCTTTTGGAAAGCATTTATAACTATTTTTTTAAACAGGCTCTGAGCCAGAAGATCCTGTTTAAATATTTAGAATATTTGTGTATTTCTCCAGGTTGCTGATTTTAGTCTATTTGCTTCAGTGTTTTAAAATGAAGTTTTAACCAATTGTATGCCTTTGGAGTAATGTTTGAACAGCTAACTTTACAATTTAAATAAATAATTTGTAATGGCATTATGTTAAGTTAAAGAAAAATCTAAGAGCATAATTGTTCTCCTGATGTATGAACAAAATAATGTATCAGCATTCTCTTTTGCTGCATCCTTAGTCTTAGTGTGACTGATTTCCCTAGGTTTCCTGCATTATAATTCAGTCTCCAGTCCCATGGTTTGACTATTTACTTTGACAACACTTTAATACCGTTTGCAGATTGAATCTATTTCCTGTCAGTGGCAGCCTTGTTTGGATTTAGCAAGGATTAATAGAGCTGATGACTTGTTCATGTTTTGTTCTTTTTAAAATACATGACTCTTGTGTTATTTGGCTACTACTCTTAGACAAAATGGCACATCATAAAGGGCCGCAGCCAGCCAAGAAAGTGACAGTAGACAAATCAGTCTCAGTCATCTTAGGCAACCCTGAGGAAAAGGCACAAGTTTCAAATGACCAAGGTAAGGAATAAGGAAGACCTTTGAAAGAAAGAAGTCTGGGCTTTGGGGTGAGATGTTATGGCTGATTAGACATCTCTATAAGCAGCTTTGCAGGCAGAGACAACACAATGGTTCAATTGCCAACCAAGATTTGGTTCTGGTGACAAAAAACTTCTCTAGAAGCAGGAGAAATCAGGAGATTGCCCACTTGTGTTCTGGAAGAGATTCTCCTTGCAAACAAAACAAAACAAAATGCAGTTTAGTTTGTTGTGGTCAATTGTGAGTCCACTTGAGAAGTAAGGAGTTTACAATTTGCCCTGAATTGCTGTACAGCCATTTTATGGACATTTGAATGACAAAAAGTTCACCTCACAATTAAATCACTTCACAATTAAAGTACTTCACATCTAAGAAAGATATTCCAAACAGTAAGGAAGATTGAAGAATTTCAGTGTCTTCTTTTTTAAATTAAAAAGATTAAAAAAAACCTATCTTAAAGGATTTTAATTTAAAGCTGATCAAGATTGCAGTATTAGGATGTTTCAAACAGAAAAGGAGGACAGTGATTTTAAAAAATAGAAGAAATAATATATTTTTTTCTTTGATGATAGTATCTTTGAAAATAATAAAGCTAGTTAGACTAACAGACAGGACCACTGTGGGAAGATTGATTGTTTATGTATGTGGACAGTACTAATTGGTGAATTTTACAAAACAAGAGACAAGAGTAATATCAGCTAGATTATTTGACTATGACTAGCCTGAGCCAATTGAGACAGAAGAAGAAGAAGAAGAAGAAGAAGAAGAAGAAGAAGAAGAAGAAG